TGATAAAGGGAGATATGTAAATATATGACCATAGCTGTTCATAAGACGTAAAACACAAATAAACAACAAAATATCGAGCAAACAAGCAAGTAATATAGATACAATTATAGAAGGTCGAGTGCGTCTTTTTCGTACTTACAATAGCAATAATGCGGTATTTTTGTCACACATGAAATCATTCGTGATCGACAGAAGAGTCAGTTCTTGATCACGAGTGTTTACTATAAATAGATCACTAACAACAGTGATAGACGCACGGTCACGATACACCATTGCCTGTAAAAGCCTGTATCACCAGGCTTGAAATTGTCGACTAGAATCTGTAACATTCATTAGGGTTTGCAGAGATGAAACAGAGAAACGTATGATGAGTTTTTTAAGTAAACGTTTCTTCACTTTCACTTCATTATGTGATACATTTTTATAAAGCAAATACTAATCGTTCTTGAAAATTTCACATGGTTAATTATGTCTTAATGATCTACAAGGGGAAAACAATCCTTATAACTTTAAACTTCGCTAAAGAGAATATTTGTTCCAGCATTTTGTATAAGCAGAAATACATTGTGTTCAATTGCTTGTATTGGGATTTTTTTTAATTAAATCGATTCATCAAACTTATTCTGATTTAAGCAAGACACAGTTCATTGGCATTATCTGTTTTCTCTCAGAGTAAAACACCTTTTAAAAAATACACTAAGATAAAAACAGATATAATGTAAAAGGATAAAAAGAAAATATACAGTTGTGGGATCGCACAACGTTACACGATGTGCGGTGTGCGCACGATGTGTGCACGGTGTGTGAACGGTGTGTGCACGATGGGCGAACGATAAAAAGCTGGACGATCATTGCTTGCGCACATCTGTGCGCACGATGGACGGACGTTGTGCGATAACAATCGTGGTTGGTGTAAATTGAGGAATGCCTTAACAATTTATACGGTTTCATGTTTAAACATATAAACTTGATGTTTACGTATGTTTCTATATTCTAGCAACATCTATAAACTGATCTTTCTGTCTATACATTCTTATATTTAGAAATTGTGTTTTCTGTGTTTTTAAACAAACTTAATCGACACATGTAAAATTACAACACAATCCCGTATACAGGTAAACATAACCACTTTGTACATGTACCTGGACCGTAGTTTTCTCCCCGCCTGGGGCACTTACGTAACTCGTCGGGTAAGGCCGGGGGTGTGAAAATCCAGGTGAAGGGGAGCTATAGGCAAACGAATGCAAATAACAAATACTATTCATTACGGTCAAACGGTATCGCATATCAGCTCTGTGTGTCAGGCACTGGTCAGGTAAAACTCCGGACACTCATAAAATTGTTATTTACCTGTTCTGTTACCTTGGAGCCAAACCCATTCTTGACAGCCTAACGGTCGCTGTAATACTGTGTAACACGCATTGTGAAATTGTATAATCTTGATTATTGTGATGAGAAATTACAGATATATACACAGTGTACATTATCGCATACAAGCCTTCCGTATTTTTGTCATTCCGTAATTTTGATCTACAAATGATACCAAATCGCACAGTTGTGCGGAGAGAAGCGCACAACGGGGCGAACGATTGCTAAATCGCACAGATGTGCGCACCATGTGTGGACGATGTGCGGACGGTGTGTGAACGATGTATGCACGGTGTGCGCACGCTATTTTTGGTGCGTTGTGCGGTCCCACAACTGTACCGATTAGAACAAGTGATTTTCACTGTTTTGAAAATGCCTTTAGAGTTCCTGCTTCATAACACGTTAATTTTGTTTCTCATTGCTGATGGAGCCCACCACAACAGGACTGTGAAACACTTATGGTGGATCCGCATGGTAACCTCTACATGATATGAAAGGTAAAGCTTAACACAGACACCCGTACGGGTGATGAAGTTATAGCATGCCTTGTATATAATCATAGAACAAAAAAGAAGATAAAATCAATAATACAGACAAAGATTCAGAGCTAGATAATTAAGACGTTGTCATACCTGAAAATGGTTACCACATAAGCATGTACTTGTTGAAGATCTGAATCGTCTGCTTGGAATAACTCTATGACACAAATTGTTGTGAATAACCCCATCACCCTCCCACTCTCGACAGGAAATAAAGATCCGACGGGCGGGGACATCTCCCCAAACGGTCAAGAAATTTTACTTCAGACCCACCATCAGATATTCTATTGGCAGGTAGATGAAGGAATCGGCATTAAAGAGACATTTCTTCAGAACCCAATAGGTGTCCCGTTCCACTACGTGAAACATGGAGATTCAGCGGACTGGGACGTGAATAAGAGAGGGTACTATACCGCCTCCGAGGGACACCACGAGAATCTGTATTACTACGCGAGGCAATGAACATAGCAATGATGTATTTAAATGTGTATATATTTGTTTTGCAAATGCAATCACAGAGACTTTGAAAAGTAAAGAAGCAACAAAAGATATGTTATTTTACAAAAAACGTTCCTGTTATTAAAGTTTATATTTATGGTTAAGTAGGAATTTTCTTATACTTGTATTTTTCATATAATCGATGAAATAAATGTGAGAATGCCCCATGATTTAAATAAGTAGCGACCCCTCATAGGAGTACACAAGGACTAGCGTTTGACCGACATTTTGTCATAAATATTTATAGGACAAACTGATAAGGTTGACGCTTTTGAAATGATTTAGATAATGAAGTAAGCGAGTTTTTGTTTTGCACGTTTGTGTGTAGGCTGTTGTTATACATAAGACATGTTGAATATAAATGCAGAGAACACAACGACAAGAGTTTCGAAGAAAAATATATGGCACCAACCCACAAATTAAATATAATTAATTCAATTTCTACTACACTTTCCATTGTCAAAACTGAATATTAATATTCTGCAAAAAGTGGGAAATTTTCTCCTGTAGAAATATTTGCGTTGTTAGCCTTTAAACTGAGGGCGGTGTGTATTATTTACGTTGGAAATTGTTTTGAAAGCTTTAACTTTTGTTAATTTAAAATCGATACATTGTATATAATATATAAATAATATTTTGCATGTTGATATGTTCGCCTTTATTTTCTGAACACGACGAAAATTTCCGCTTTTACAGTCGGTGTAGAAATGCGCAGCGTTTGTAAAGCGTTCAGAAACATGTTATCTGTGATTGTACCACTGCAAAAGTTTTGGTTTTTCAAAAAAGAAATAACGTTTTGAAAAGAATATATCAGAATGTTGATTATAATTAGAAACTGACTTCGTCTTTCAATGGTGGTGTATTTGTGCAGTGTATTGTGAGGTTTCCCAGAAGACTGCGGCATCAGTCGACAAAAAATGAGGACGTAAGCAAACGTATAAAGAAGCAAAAAACAATACTAAGAACGAACGCAGGAAACAGCTGTTAGGACGATATCAACAGGTACGCAGACACAATCAGCATTGTTGGAAGCAATAATCAGTCATAAGGATACAATCAAAAGTTATAACCACGCAATAATCAGTCATAAGGATACAATCAAAAGTTGTAACCACGCAATATTCAGTCATAAGGATACAATCAAAAGTTATAACCACGCAATAATCAGTCATAAGGATACAAACAAAAGTTATAACCCCGCAATGAACAGGTGCCTAATTAGGATGCAATCATCACTAATTAGGATGCAATAATCATTAATTAGGATGCAAACAACATTTTTAGAGATCGACCAAAAGGTATGAATACAGAATCAACAGAAGGAGACTGGATGACAACCACGCATTCCAAGTGTATTTTTTACAATGGAAATAAAACTGGTTATTGATGTGATCACACATAAAGTACCTGATGATATAAGAATTACAACTATCTTAACTTCTGTCAAAGAAATATGTGTTCTGGATAAAAAGAGAGAGGACTCTAATATGGTAAGATAAACGTGCACTTATAATGTTTAGAGGAAGATGGCTTATTAATACATGTAGGAGACATCACCACCATACTCTAAATTGTTTTATTTGTTTATGTTTCATAATGGATATTCGAGTTTCAGCGAGAAATAAATACCAAAGAATTAACCTATTCCTGAACATAAATCAAAATATGTCATTAATCCTTAAACTTTCTGTTTCCCTTTGCATGTAAGTAAATAAACGTGTGTATCACAACTGGATATGATATGTTATGGCAGTTTTTATTAATAGATATTATCGGTTTGTAGTGAGGTAACTTACATCATTGATAGACGAAGTTTCCAAAAGGATAGTGGACGATTATCATGTTCATTACATTAGATATAATGTCAGATCGTCTGAGGACACGGAGGTTACATATTTGCAGTTTACAGTTTGATAATTTATTAATGATAATTAGATAAAGATGATAACCAGCTATCATGAATTAAATGTGGTTTTTTTTCCAATAGCGTTCATATAGTATCAGGAAAATAGGATTCTCATGAAATTACATGATTTCTGTTTCTAATCGGAGAAAACCTGCCACGAATTGCGAGGTCACAATTGAAAAATCCCTTTGTACATAATATTTTGCTTGACTGACGAATTAGGAAATATATATGCTACAGGAAATATACAAACATTTTGTATGTTTATGCAATATTTCAGGAGTAAAGGAAACATAGTGGTTATATGTGAAATATATGTATGTATCATTAACTAAATCTGTCAGAATTTCAAACATAACAGTTCCTTAAGCTTTCTATAAATCCAATACACTATACTGTTTCTTTAACACATTTAATGCAAATCATAATTGTAAACAGATAGTTTCATCCCTGTCCTTCTAACCTGCGTAATTAAGTATACATGTATGTGTAGTCACTTCAAGTGTTATCGTAAAATATGCATTATTGCCGAGATAAAATCTACTTTAAAGGGTAATTCTACGTGTGTATAAAGTGTCGACCGGTCTTCGTAGCAGCAATGAGATATTTGCATCACATCTTACGTGATTGATTACAAACTTTACTGAATCATCTGAAAGCGAGTGTCAAGTACAAATTTACCAATGACATGTGTGATATGTGTAGTCACCCACACACGGTCACGATCCTATAATCCGTTGAAGTGGACAGGAATGATAGTTTTATTTCGGTCAAGGTGCAAAGTTTATCTTAACTGAGAGTAAACAAGCAAATGTAAGTATATAGATGGTATAAGAGAAAAACATGATTTTTTTTGTTCAAGATTAAGAATTATCTACTGTATTGAAACATAATATTTAATATTTGTTAAACGTTATATTTAAAAAATCCTATTGCTTTGTTTTTGTTTTCCAGTATTAATTTTTTATTTATAAAATGTCAATATAAACAAGATAGATATTTCTTTATTTACTAAAAGGGCAACTGCGATATAATGAAGTAATAAGTTTGTAGGTAAATCAGAAAAAATAAAAATAATATAAAATAAATGTAACAAATAAATACGAATAAAGAGTACCATATTTTAAGGACAAAATTGGATTCGATATACAAAACCATGATCAATTATTAAACAATTAGGATAAGCAATAGGTATCAGGAACTCATACAAGTATTCGGAGGTACACTCGGGTTTTCTTACAAGGTATGCGATTTAAAGATAACAGTTCTTGGTTAACGACCTAAGTTTACTCAGGTTTAGTTGTGCTACATTGTACATGTATATGCTATATAATACATGTGTTGCTTTATAATCCGTTTGACCACCTTATCTATTCACACATTCATGTTCTGGAGTAGCCAATAAAACGAGTCATGTAGACTCATCATCATAGGATGCTTGTGTGTTATTACTGGTCAATGGAATGTTAATAAGGATGAAATTAATCTTCACTGAGTGCCGTAGCGAGCTCATTATTTGTTATATTTTTACTTTTACTTTAAATTGTGTTCGAGTATTTAAAAGGAGATATTTTTTTGCCATTTAATCTGGATATATTCTTTGCTTACAAACAGTTGTATTTAGGGGAAATCAGTATATTAATTGAAAATTGCCACTCTCGATGTTGGTGCTAAAATAAAGGTATTTAATTTAGTATTAGGTGAAGAGTTTGATAAAATCCCTGTATAGCTTACTTTTATAAGAAGTCGGAAATAATTGCCTAGAAGCGGAGGAAAGGAAGTACCGATTTGTGTATAGTAAATATGTGTATAGCAATTCGGCATTTATATGAAATACAAGCAAGTGACTATATCTAATTTTCGGAATAAAATTCATCAGTTTGGTGTTAAAAGCTAAGGCTAAGGTTAAGCTTGTTTAGAACAAATTCAGGAATACTGAACAGTTTTTGAACTTCTGTTTGTGTTCAAAACAAACTTAGCCTTTATGAAATATATCTGTTCTATATTTACAGTAATTCCGTTATCTGACAACCAGGTGCGCCTATGAATGTATAGGGCTGGAGTCGTATACTGTTCCGTATTCACACGCCCACCTCCGTTCATGAAAATGTTGACGTTACTTCTCGCTTGTTTTTCATTTCTGGGACAGATATACGGCTCCTCCGTTCCCTTAAAAACCAGAGGTTAGTTTTAGCAAACAACTTTACATTTACATTTTTAGTAAACCGTAGTTTTATGTTTATTTTCTATGTATGTATGAAACTTTATATACTGTTTATGTATTATCAGTTTATACAGTACACATGTGCATATTTTGATACAAAACTACTTGTAAAACAGTGTTGTACTTGGTAACGCGTGGCTGTATGTATAACAAATGTATCTAGTAGGGGGTGCTTGTATGTATGATAAATGAATGTAGTAGCGGGTGGCTAAATGTATAAAAAAATTACCAAATTTATCTAGTAGAGGGTGGCTGTATGCATAATGAATATATCTTGAACATGGTTTCTGTTTGTAAAATAAAAGTGTCCTCTAGCGGGTGGCTGTATATATATATAAAATATCTTTTAGAGGGTGGTTGTATGTATAATAAATGTATCTTGTTTTGGATGGCTGTATGTATGAAAAATGTATCTAGTAGGGGGTGGCTGTATGTATAATACATGTATCTAGTAGGGGGGGACTGTATGTATAATGAATGTATCTAGTAGCGGGGGGCTGGATGTATAATAAATGTATCCTGTTGTGGGTGTCTGTATGTATAATACATGTATCTTATAGCAGGTGGCTGTATATAAAACGAATGTATCTTGTAACGGGTGGCTGTATGTTTGAGCTGTAGTATAAGTATGTATAATGAATGTATCTAGTAGGGGGTGGCTGTATGTATAATACATGTATCTAGTAGGGGGTGACTGTATGTATAATGAATGTATCTAGTAGCGGGGGGCTGTATGTATAATAAATGTATCCTGTTGTGGGTGTCTGTATGTATAATACATGTATCTTATAGCGGGTGGCTGTATATAAAACGAATGTATCTTGTAACGGGTGGCTGTATGTTTGAGCTGTAGTATAAGTATGTATAATGAATGTATCTAGTAGAGGGTCGCTGTATGTATAATGAATGTATCTAGTAGAGGGTGGCTGTATGTAGGAGATGTAGTATAAGTATGTATATAGCATTACAACACTCACACATAATAGGAATGACAAGACGAATTCATCCATATTTTCAGGATTGCCTTGGAACATATTGAATGGAACTTGTTTAGTGGGACCTTGCAATGATTTAGTGTAACTTTCAAAGGCGTTAGACAAAAATTGAAAATTTAGGTAATGACGTCCACATCACCTTATCAAATGATAATATTTCATTCAAATTTGCTAGTAAGCATTCTTAAGACCAGGGTAGAAAACGTTTTAAAAGAAGATAGTTGTCTCACTTTGGAATGAGAGGCGTTTGCTCCTTGAATTCTATTTTGTACATGTAAATCGGTATAGAACATATGCTTGAATTATACAGAATTTGTTCAAATAAAAGACCGCAACTTTGTTATGAAATTTTGTAATACTTTTCATAACTTAATTTCGACTCACAAAACAACAACAAAAAACAAACAAAAAGTTGTTTATGTACTGTTTAACTGCTGGCTGATATATGATACTTGACAGGACAATCTGAGAAGTAAGTTAATGGTTAGTTTTTTTCCGTTTTGGATGAGATCAGCATTTTCGATAATGTTCTTCTGAGTTGAATCTGCGATACACATACCGATATTTCTTTGCTCAAACAACGTATAATACCTAGTATCAAAGTTTTACTTTACTGAGTGAGCGATTTGTAGTGTGTACCTGTACAACGATGTGACGTTATTTGAACATTTCGCTTATCGGTAGAGCGTGTATACACACCGTACCGAATAGGTTACTATTGGAGTGTAGTTATCACCCCTCTCCCATATAGGTCAGTAGTGGGTCATACAATGGACAGATTTTACAAATCGCACACTCAGTCAAAAGCTTGAGAAAGAGACTAATTAGTCTTGAAACGTTGCGACACGTTTCATGCGTACAGTATTCGTGTATAAAGTAAAACTTTGATATTACATTCTTTGAATTTAGTTTAAGAACGCATAATGCGTGATTTTAATGAATACTCATTCGGGTGATATTGTTTTAAAGGGAATATTGCAAATAAAGTCATTGATTTGTTTTCTAGCTTTTCCAAGTTTTCTACCTGGAACTCAGTTGGGTCACGTCAATGCTGTTGAAGAAGCTTCCGGTTTATGCGCCAGCAGAGTAAACCCGAACATCTTGTATACCCACAATGACAACGGAGATGGACCCAAACTCTACGCCATCAGTGCTCTCACTGGAGAACTAAAGGTATACAAAATACATGAATTGAACGAAGGTAAAACATGCATTGCTTGTCACTATTTTACCCCCCCCCCCCCCCCCCCAAAAAAAAACAACAACAAGAGAATACCAAGCATATACAAAACCACAAGGCATTCTAGTAAGCATACTAAAATCATCGACCTTTATATCACACAAAGAAACAACATATTTCCATGCGAGATCCTGATGACGACCAGAAAACTCGTACATAGCCTTCATCCTAAGAAACCATGTGTTACACGTTTGTTCGTCAACAGTCGAAATCAAAGACCGAAGTCATTTTATTCAAAGCAAGATTTTCAGTACCGAATTAACCGCGACATGTAAACACCGGTAGGGGGAGTAGGGTTGTAGCTATCAAGAAAAAGAAAACTCACAATAGGAAAGCTATACTTACACATTTGATTCCTTCTTTTGACCGGTTTGGTTTGGTTTGGTTTAGTGTTGTTTAACGTCTTATCAACACCTGTGGTAATTTAAGGACGGCCTCCCCTATCTGCAAGATTCATGCGTGTAGTACTAGTGTATGTATGTGTGTTTTGGGAGGCCGCGATATGTTCGTGTGTGTTTCCTTGTGTTAGCGCGGTACTGATGCCGACTTTTTAGTGCTACCTCACTGAAGCATACTGCCGAAGACATCCAGCAGGACACCTACCCGGTCACATTAACCTGACAACGGGCGAACCAATCGACCCACTCCTGAATTTCTGAGCGTTATGCAGGAGTAGATACTACCATTTTTACAGACTCTGGTATGTCTCGGCCAGGGGAGAGAACCCAAAGCCTTCCTCACAGTGGCGAACGCTAAACTAAAGGCCAAAAGTGAAGCATTGTCAAGAGAGACATTAGGAAGGAAGTTGTTTAGAAAGAAGAGAAAAGATAAGGTACCAAATTTAGTCGCCTCCTACGTCTTTTGACGGGATCATGATATTGTCACACGTGAACGGGAATCAATGTCCCGAATCTATCGCATTTGGTTCAGCCATCGTTGTTTGTCAATGTTCATACGTCGTTTTGTTTGTTAGTTCTCTGGGATATTTATATATCTTGTTGTTAATTGGTACTCAAGTAATTAACTAAAATGTAAGTTTTAAGGTACATGTTTAGTAAACAAATGTTTAGAATAGCACACACGCCGTTTTACAACATGTGTTACAATATGTCGGGTGCTAGATGGGACTGGTCCAGTTGTTTAGCTCTGGCATGAAAACATATATGTATTTACTGTACACGTACTATTAAGCTCTTTCGGTTATAAGCGTTGATTGTTTGTAAATGATTTGAATTGATTGATGGACTGTGCATTGCAGTAGATGAAGAGTGACGCTACATCATATATATCTACTTCGTGTCAAGTTGACCAAAGTTGTAACTCTTTACCTGGTAAACTGAAAGCGCAAGCTTATTAGCTTGGTCGGAAAAAGGAGTTTATTTCAAAAGTTGACAATTATATCAGCCTCCACCACACTTAGCTACGGTTGTGTTTGGGATTGCGTATCGGTATATAGCTTATATGGTTTTGCATATCTGTATATAGATTGTATGGTATTAAGTCTCTATATATAGATTATATGCTATTTCGACTCTGTATATATATACTGCATGATATTATGTCTCTGTAAACATATTGTATGGTATTATGTCTCTGTGTATATATAGTGTATGGTATTATGTCTCTGTATATATATTGTATGGTATTATGTCTCTGTATATATATTGTATGATATTTGTCTCTGTAAACATATTGTATGGTATTATGTCTCAGTGTATATATAGTGTATGGTATTATGTCTCTGTATATATCTTGTATGATACAATGTATTGTGTCTCTATATATAGATTGTATGGTATTATGTCTCAGTGTATATATAGTGTATGGTATTATGTCTCTGTATATATCTTGTATGATACAATGTATTGTGTCTCTGTATATGGATTGTATGGTATTATGTCTCTGTATATATATTGTATGATACAATGTATTGTGTCTCTGTATATAGATTGTATGGTATTATGTCTCTGTATATATATTGTATGGTATTATGTCTCTGTATATATATTATATGGTATTGTGTCTCTGTATATATATTGTATGGTATTGTGTTTCTGTATATAGATTGTATTGTATGGTATTGTGTTTTTTATATGGAATGTATGATATTATATCTCTGCATATATATTGTATGTTATTGTGTCTCTGTATATATATTGTATGATATTGTGTTGCTGTATATATATTGTATGATATTGTGTCTCTGTATATAGAATGTATTATATGGTATTGTGTTTTTGTATATAGAATGTATGATATTGTGTCTCTGTTTATAGAATGTATGATATTGTGTCTCTGTATATAGATTGTATGGTATTATGTCTCTGTATATAGAATGTATTGTTTAGTGTCACTGTATATATATTGTATGGTATTATGTCCCGGTATAGATATTGTATGATATTGTGTCTTTGTATATAGATTGTATGATATTGTGTTTCTGTATATATATTATATGGTATTGTGTCTCTGTATATAGAATATATTGTATGGTATTGTGGTTTTGTATATGGAATGTATGATATTGTGTCTCTGTATATATATATTGTATGTTATTTTGTTTCTGTATATATATTATATGGTATTGTGTCTCTGTATATAGAATGTATTGCATGGTATTGTGGTTTTGTATATGGAATGTATGATATTGTATCTCTGTATATATATTGTATGAAATTGTGTTTCTGTATATATAATGTATTGTATGGGATTGTGGTTTTGTATATTGAATGTATGATATTGTATTTCTATATATATATTATATGGTATTATGTCTCTGTATATAGAATGTATGATATTGTGTCTCTGTATATATATTGTATGAAATTGTGTCTCTGTATATAGAATGTATTATATGGTATTGTGTTTTTGTATACCGAATGCATGATATTGTGTCTTTATATATATATATTGTATGGTATTATGTTTCTGTATATATATTGTATGATATTGTGTTTCTGTATATATATTGTATGATATGGTGTTTCTGTATATAATAGATTGTATGATATTGAGTTTCTGTATATAGAATGTATTATATGGCATTGTGTTTTTGTATACCGAATGCATGATATCGTGTCTTTATATATATATATTGTATGATATGGTGTTTCTGTATATATATTATATGGTATTATGTCTCTGGATATAGAATGTATGATATTCTGTCTCTGTATATAGATTGTATGGTATTATGTTTCTGTATATATCTTGTATGATATTGTGTTATATATTGTATGATATGGTGTTTCTGTATATAATAGATTGTATGATATTATATAGATTGTATGACATTGCGTCTCTGTATATAGATTATATGACATTGTGTCTCTGTATATATAGTGTATGGTATTGTGTCTCGGTATATATATTGTATGACATTGTATTTCTTTATATAGGTTGCATGATGGTGTGTTTTTGGATATAGATTTTTTGGGATTGTGTCTCTGTATTATGTCTCTGTATATATAGTGTATGGTATTGTGTTTTTGTATACCGAATGCATGATATCGTGTCTTTATATATATATATTGTATGATATTGTTTTTCTGTATATATATTATATGGTATTGTGTCGCTGTATATATATTGTGTGGTATTATGTCTCTGTATATATAGTGTATGGTATTGTGTCTCGGTATATATATTGTATGAAAATGTGTCTCTGTATATAGATTACATGACATTGTGTCTCTGTTTATAGAATGTATTATATGGCATTGTGTTTTTGTATACCGATTGTATGATATTGTGCTTCTGTATATAGATTATATGACATTGTGTTTCTGTATCATATATATTGTATGTTATTGTGTCTCTGTACATAGATTGTATGACATTGAGTCTCTGTATATAGAATATATTGTATGGTATGTATATAGGTTGCATGATATTGTGTTTCTGTATATAGATTGTATGGTATTGTGTCTCTGTATATAGATTGTATGACATTGTGTCTCTGTATATAGATTGTATGATATTGTGTTTCTGTATATAGATTGTATGATATTGTGTTTCTGTATATAGATTTATGACATTGTGTCTCTGTTTATAGAATGTATTATATGATATTGTGTTTTTGTATACCGATTGTATGATATTGTGTTTCTGTATATATATTGTATGATATTGTGTTTCTGTATATAGATTGTATGATATTGTGTTTCTGTATATATATTGTACGATATTGTGTTTCTGTATATAGATTGTATGACATTGTATTTCTGTATATAGGTTGCATGATAATGTGTTTCTGTATATTGATTGTATGATATTGTGTTTCTGTATATAGATTTATGACATTGTGTCTCTGTTTATGGAATGTATTATATGATATTGTGTTTTTGTATACCGATTTTATGATATTGTGTTTCTGTATATATATTGTATGATATTGTGTTTCTGTATATAGATTTATGACATTGTGTCTCTGTTTATGGAATGTATTATATGATATTGTGTTTTTGTATACCGATTGTATGATATTGTGTTTCTGTATTTATATTGTATGATATTGTGTTTCTGTATATATATTGTATGGTATTATGTCTCTGTATATAGAATGTATGATATTGTGTCTCTGTATATAGATTGTATGATATTGTGTCTCTGTATATAGATTGTACGACATTGTATTTCTGTATATAGGTTGCATGATATTGTGTTTCTGTATATATATTGTATGATATTGAGTTTCTGTATATAGATTGTATGATATTGTGTTTCTGTATATAGATTACATGACATTGTGTCTCTGTATATAGATTGTATGATATTGTGTTTCTGTATATAGAATGTATGATATTGTGTTTCTGTATATAGATTGTATGACATTGTGTCTCTGTATATAGAATGTATTATATGATATTGTGTTTTTGTATACCGATTGTATGATATTGTGTTTCTGTATATATATTGTACGATATTGTGTTTCTGTATATAGATTGTATGATATTGTGTCTCTGTATATAGAATGTATTATATGACATTGTGTTTCTGTATATAGATTGTATGATATTATGTTTCTGTATATATATTGTATGACATTGTGTTTCTGTATATAGATTGTATGATATTGTGTGTCTGTATATAGATTGTATGACATTGTGTTTCTGTATATAGATTGTATGATATTGTGTTTCTGTATATAGATTGTATGATATTGAGTTTCTGTATATAGATTGTATTGTATTGTGTCTTTGTATATATATTGTATGGTATTGTGTTTCTGTATATATATTGTATGACATTGTGTTTCTGTATATAGATTGTATGATATTGTGTCTCTGTATATAGATTGTATGATATTGTGTCTCTGTATATAGATTGTATGATATTGTGTTTCTGTATATAGATTGTTTGGTATTGTGTCACTGTATATATATTATATAGGATTGTTACTCCGTATAAACATGTACACTTTATTATATTGTGTCAATGTATATAGATTGTTTTGTATTGTGTCTCTCAATATAGAGATTATAAAATTGTTTTAATTTGTTCCTGTTTAAGCGAGTTATGTTATACTTACACGCAAAGTGAAACAAACCTTAGGTATGTTAAATGTTAGGACGTATTTATCTGGAAACAATAATTCTTTATATTGAAGCTTGTTTCGTGTCCAAGTAAAGTTTACAGTCAATGAAGTATTTTCTGTTGATGTCTACTTAGTTAATATTATCAATTTGCTAAAGATGTTAAGTGCTATTCTATTTTTTGTTGTTGACGCTTTGGGTTACAATTTTTATTTTACTTGATAGAAAACCATTCACGTGCATGGCGCTCATAACTACGACTGGGAGGATATCGCTTGTGGACCTTGTGATGTAAATGGAGGAGACTGTGTATATATAGGTAGGTTCGAAACGCGGAGTAAATAATGATATTTATTTTTGGGGTGTCAACTGAAAGTGAATGGGTTTGTTATAGAAAACGTAAAAATGGTACCTTTCGTATTTCTATAATTTGGTTTACTCGATTAATAATCAATACAAAATAAATATCAAATTAAAATAAAAATGAAATTAAAATGAAATCCAAACTTGAAATGAACAAAGAATGTCCCTGTAATTATTTTAAACTTAGCAGAATCACTTCCTAATATCTCTACACACGTAAACCTAGGAGTAGGTTAAATCCAGTTAAAAGCTCTTTATTTTGTCTCATTTATTCTGAATTATTTCTCGAAAGACTATGATTCGTTAAAAGCAGATACACAAAATAAAAATTGGCATAATTCGATACTTTGATTTTCTATATCGTAATGCTGTTTCGCCTTATTCCACTTGTAAGGCCGACAATGCTATTTAAGGAGGATTAAAACGTTATATCAATCAAATTTTCGAAATGTATTCTCCATTTTGCAGGAGATATTGGCGATCATTCCGGAGATGGTGCTCGGAATATAATTTACAAAATTCGGGAGCCATTGATCACAAATTCTCATGGAGACGTGACTGTCGATGTCGACGCACAGATTCGTTTTATGTATGCACACGTTATGTTTATTGTTATTATCCTTATCATATAGATATATCAATATGTTTGCTCTTTCTTGTTTCACTTTTAGTGTGCACGATTTGGGCAGCCTGTCTATACAAAATGTAACACAGGCTAAAGGAGACTGTAGTCATAAAACACCTTAACAAATAATAAATTAACTTACGGTATCCTAGATCTGTTCTAGGTCTGCATCCTCCCCTAAAAAACGTCCATAATGTGTAACCTTCAAAGTCACGTCGATCGTAAATTGTATACAATGTAAAAACCTACCTGATCCTGAAATCATTATCACCTCGGACTTTTTCACATCAAACTTTTTCTCTCTGTCTTTAGTTACAGCTGAACCATTTGAGCGCCTAACTACTAAAATAAGATAAACGTAAAGATTGCGATTACCAACTTTCTTTTTATTAATAATTATATCACTGTTTCCCTATAATACGGTGTTTTAATATCGTCTTTTTTCATAAGGTTTTAAAAAGATAAAAAGAGATCCCAAACTAGTGTTTGATTTACAAGTTGATCTAACTCGAGGTACCTAATTTTCAAATTGTATAAAGACGGAAGGTTTATCGAGCGTCTTTTACAATTTGAAAATAAACGAACAAGTGTTTGATAAACATGATAATCAACCATCACTCGAGTAACAAATAAATTAAATAAAAAAACCCAAATAAATCGTTAATTTGGAACAATTACTGGTAATAAGGATAAGTGTTACATAAAGTGCAGTTAACATGTCGTCATTATACCTGACACAAATGTTTATAAATGCAGATGGAACCCACATCAACAGGACAGTGAAACACTTATGGTGGATCAGCATCGGAACCTTTACATCATATCAAAGGTAAACTCAATCTTCAAACACATGTACAAATATGTGTTTGTTGCTGTTGAAGATAGTAAATTGGACAATTGTGACATTCGATCCTCAATACTCCAGGGGCTTCGCTCACTTACGCTCTCTGCACCCCAGGAACATGTCGTAGCAAAGTTGAAGGCACGCGGTTAGCTATTTGGTCGGTCTCAAGAATAAAAAAGATCCAACTTTTAGAAAACAAACGATCCAATTTTTAGGCTGATATCTAGATTACAGAGGAGCGACAGCCGACTTCAAAGCTTTTCCATTTTACCGATGCATGGCCGCGTGATTATTTTGAAAAGCATCACAGAATCTTTTCTCATCCACATGACTGCGCACACTGAACCCTGGATTTGTTAATGATTTATTCCAGGAGTGCAGAGAAGGCAAGTGCACGTAACTCCTGTATGATTGAGGATGGTGCAATTCAAGCACACGTAGATAATACTGTGTAGAGATTTTCTTTGATTTAACAAGTTTAGTCATTTTGTGTAGCGAGTGACATGGTACTTCACTGGATAACGTGAGGCTGTGTATCATTTCATGTTCGGCCCAGCTGGACAAAAATGATATTATTTTAAAGGATAACATTTCTCCATTTTAGTCTCTAGAGTACATAACCAGATGTTATTTTACGGACAGGTGTCAGACGGCCAAGGAAAGGTGGGAATGATTGAAAGCTCCGCTTGGGATACCTCTACAGCGATAGTCACGGTCAGTAACCTTGTCACCCTCCCACTCTCGACAGGAAATAACGACCCGACGGGCGGGGACATCTCCCAAAGCGGTCAAGAAATTATAATTCAGACCCACCATCAGATATTCTATTGGCAGGTAGTAGATGGAATCGGCATTAAAGAGACATTTATTCAGAACCCGATAGGTGTCCCGTTCCACTATAAGAAGAACGTAGAATCAGTCGCCTGGGATGCGAATGGGAGAGGGTACTATACTGTCGCGGAGGGACACCACGAGAATCTGTATTACTACGCAAGGCAATGACACCAGCAGTACGACATTTGCTGTGCTTATATTTGTTGTTCTATTGCACCCTCGGACATTTTAAAAGTAACCAAACAAGAAAATATACGATACTTTATATGCACAAAAACTTTCTTGTTATTAAAGTTTACACTTATTTTAAAACCCAATTTTTCATATTTGCTTAAATGCTTAATGACTTTCCAAATGCTTGGGTGCTGGTAGTTTTAATATATACAACAGTATTACAGACATAATCAAGTTATGAAAACGAAATATTTACAGTTTTAAATGTTATTGACTCAATAACCTTTGTTGAGCTCATTGTCATTATCACTCGATGGCGACAGGCATTCTCGTGTGCGTAGTCACCGTGTACATGGATATGTGTACGTCAACAACCCGGGGATTTCCATTACTATTTAGTAATTTCATTAGTGATTTCATAAAAAAGATTCATTGTTGAAATGTTTACATACATTGTTGAAATTTATACATTCCGATGACGTCACACCCGATGATTTTTCTGACGTGTTTGTGTTCATTTACATGGGCGGAACCACCATTTTTTAAAAGGGGGGGTGGGGGTTCCAACTTCATGCCAAAGGTCATGTGAGGACCGAAGGCCGCCGGACGCGGGCCGTAGGCCGGAACTAGGGGGAGAACACGAGAGGGGGGCTGATAGCCCCTTCTTGGAAGAGGGGTACGGGGGGTCTCACCCAGAAAAAAATTGAAATCCTAGATGACCGAAGATGGCTTTTAAGTACGTTTGAGAACAAAATGAGGATAATTGTTTGATTGCCTCACTGGACCGGTTATTGTTTTATCATCCAAACATATATAAATAGCGTGTTTTTCTCAATAAAATTCACTACTTATAATTGAAAAAACACTCGATTGTTCTCAATCTGTACTACATCATTTATTGACTATTTCCGGGTACTAGATGGGTCGCACGCTACACCTGTATATTTTATATTTCCATCCGTACTTTCTTTGACTTCGATTGTTATCCTTGTGTGCTTTAATATTAATGCAGTACGGCTTTGCTATTTAATCTTCATAGTTCGTTTTCATTTTTGTTTTATGACGTCATTAGGTATCTTCAAAAACATGTAAACGTACATGTATATAAGCCGTTGCATGCGAGGATGAATGTCAATATATACGTATTGGAGAGGAAAGTACAGTGTCAGATCAAGTAACTACTAACATGATGGGGTCTTTACCAAACATTGCGAGTCCGCGCGTCCGATATTGCGTCATTTTACACAAATATATATAATCGTTAAACGATATATATATGTGAAGGACTTTGCACATACTTTTAATCACAGGTGTAGCTTGTCATGAAATATTCCGTCCCTCCATCAAGATCCCTACCCGACCCGCGGGCAATGACGGGTAGTTGTCGGATTCTGAGATGCGATAAAAATAATCCTTACTTGTGCAAATGGAAATCATGCCTATTATAGGCAAGATTTCCATTTGCACACACACCCTCACACCCTTGAAAACGTTAGTGTGTGTGTGTCTGTTGAGAGGTTATAGTAGACAGTTCAAGTTAATTTTGTGAAGTTTTAGGGGGATTGGATGGGGGTTGGGATGCGTACGGCAGCTACCCCATCCCCCCAATAAATCTGTGTCTGGCTGTCAACTGTCAGGTTAAAACATTCATGTTCCATCCCGGTATCTTTTTATTGTTCCAAATAATTCCGTGTTTAAGCCTATCAAGCGAATACAAATCAAAAATAGAATTGTACCTTATGATTTCCGTAGAGTATGATGTAGAAACAAGCATCTATACTAGCTATAGGGTTTGATAAGATTAACATTAGTACCGAACCTACACCAGTAGTCTCATGCTATTGGGAAATATCTTTACGGCGGTAAGTAAATATATGGCCGAGCGAAACGAGGCGACATGTTTAGGCGTAAGTTTTTAAATAAAAAAAAACAAAATCGGTGGTAAAAAAAGGGGGGGGGGGGTCCGGACACCCTGGACCCCCCTCCTGCATCCGCCTATGATTTACATACGCTTACTTTGATGATATAGTGTAAACAATACCCAGAAATACGAAAGTAAATTCAATTTTGACAATAACGGTCGATATACGGCAATTTCGCCGTAATATTTTCAACTGCACTCGATAAGGCTGGTAGATAATGATAATCACAGGACGGGTACGAGTTTACATGACCTACACGTCATATGGCTGAATACTGATATTTAGATCACAGCACACGAATTCGGTTTTATAATAATTGAAGTTAAAAGCAAAATGATAGAATTACTTCGTGTGTTTGTGATTTTGTAGATACAATGTACTATGCCTGGTTCCTTTGAAGTGCCTCTAGCCAAACACTAGACTATGTATAGTATTCTGTTGAAATCTATGATATTTTAATTATTATTTTCTGCGAACATGTATTATTTAGTTTTAGCATTCTCCTATTCATTTGAACATATCTTACATCTTCGCTATAATAATCTCTCTCTATATATATGAATGTATGAACTATGTGAATTTTTGGCAAAGGGCTTTAATAGGCAATGTATGTGCTTAATGATCCAACTGTATCCTTGATGCCGCGGCAATAAAATTCATTCAAAATGAAATAAACATTATGGTATTTGCGCAAGAATTTTCCATTGTGATCTCATTTTTTATGTTGTCTTGAAAGAAAGATAACATAATAAACAATCATCGTTTTTTCAGGAATCTTTTCGTGACGGATTTGATCACTAACAACCATTTTCTTTCACCTCTGCACAAGGAGAACAACTCTTACGCTTTACAAGTTTCATACGGACACCAACTGTTGGAGAAAAAAAGAAAGGGATTGTTTGTGCAGTTTGGAGGATAATTTCCGTAAAAACCCATTGAAGCCTGACAAACTAAAGTGTATCCACAGCTAACATGTATTCTATTTACTGGAATCATTTGCTGATCAAACGTATTTCATATAAGAATAAATATACTTATAGCATTAATGTTCCGTTTAGGAACCGATAAAGAGTTAAGAAAGCGTGACACAGATATCAAAAATAGACTCATGTAAAAAGAGTTTGGGCCAAGGTGCAAAGTAATGTTATCTCAACAATTAGTATGAGTCACTAAAAATAAATAATATAATGAAGGCTGATTTTGATCTTGATAAAACTATAAGAAGACTGTGATCTAAGCGTTCACGCTTTAGAGGTAGTCTTATTTAAGCACTATTCGGTCTTTAAATATAATGCTAAATTATGAATGCGCCAATTGCAGTTCTTGCATGTTGTTCTCCAGTGCATATTTCCTTGGTGCGCCAATCCATGAATGCTCTTATCAATTAAAATTCGATAAGGCGCTCAAATTTGATTGCGCTCAAATATGTTCGTTGACAGTGTCTTCATTAGATTTCAGAAAGTAATCACTTAGATCAGCTTTCTATTACCACTCCCTCCCCAAACACAGATATATATTTTGAAAAACATAAAAATAGAAAAATAAAATGTACGAAATAGCCATGGACCATTCGAAATTTGCAATGCCCCTATTATCTTACGAGCATGTGATCAATTATCAAAGACACAAAAAACGCAAACACCGATTTAGCTAATATGATATTTTTATTTTTTAAGGTTTGGCGATTATATGGCCACGGCTTCATACATATGTGGTTACCGACTCTAAATTAGAGTCATAGGGCAGATCAACTTGATCAAACTTGTGTGCAAAATTGCAAAACTTGGGACAATTGAAATAAGGACAAATTAAGTGATAACTGGGAACAGATGTACACCTCATTTTCCCCACTTTACCAATTATTTATTCGACAATAGTTGGTCTTATTAAAAATATTTGTATTTTATGTAAACACAGGAAACAGCTGTCCACTTCAAATTGATTATGCTATTAAATTGCAAATACTATTTGTTAACTTCACAAACTTTTTTCAAGTGTAACTGTTCATTGAATGACAACTGGTCAATATGGTAAAAGTTTGCACTGTAGCGGTACTTGTGTTGCCTCAAAAGACCACCAACCACATCTAGAAAATACTGAAGACCGTGACAAAGCAACCATCTTACCTCATTTCTGCACAAATATCAGATTTCCTCCCAGCGAGAGCGCAATTAATCCGTTACCGCCAATGTTGAAAACTGAAATGATTCAACAAAATTCCACCAGTAACAAGTTCTTAAATATCATACAGCTTGTGGATGTGGAGTGGGTTGATGGGAAAATAGCGAAAATTTAGATACAAAACCTTAAATTTGTTTTGACAAAATATGAGTGTGCTTACAACGGATTCTGAGTAGCAAGAGGAAGTTATAGGGGCGATAACTCTAACATCCATATGCTCCACTAGGCTGAGGTAACAACCAACCAATAAATATAAACCTGAGTAGTTATCTAGTATTTCATTACCTCGAGACACAATTATGCTGGCACAACAGGTACTTCTCGTCTGTCTTTCCGTTTCCACAGGGATAAATGGTTCTTTCGCTGATTTACAAGGCAAAGATAAAATTACCCCGTTACAACTGTAAATACATTATTTACAACTCGATTCTGTTATCATAGAAAAATGGAGACAGTGTGTACATATTGAATATTACATTCAACTTTATAAGGTAAGGTGCGTGTCGTAATGTCTAAGGTACAATGTATGTATTCTTGTCTTTCCGTGTCTTCCGAATTACGTTTTTTCATCTATCTAAACGATGTAATATCATTTTCTTTATTTTGTGTTAAATGAGATATATCGATTAGTTTGATCAATTAAAATTTTATTTCTAGCTGATCCAAACTTCCTACCTGGGACTGTATTGGGTCACGTGACTGGTATTGATGATACTTCTGGATTGTACGCCAGCAGAACAAACCCTAATATCCTGTTTTCTCACAGCAACAAGGGGGACGGACCAAATATATATGCCATCAACGGCCTCACTGGGGAATTAAAGGTATATAACTGCCATTAGCATACAATATTATGATGTACCATCAGTCCCAATTTAAGAATTGACTTAGGCCGTTGTTCTCTGGATTTTACTCTAGATAACATGATGAGGTCACAGGAAATAAGATCTCTTCTATAAAAAGAACAACTGGGCTGGCTTTCAATATTCCCGTAAGATCAAAAGTGAGAAGTTTCCTGTCGAGTGGTAAAGCTATACTATATTTTGTTAAGCATCTCCGTACCATTTGCATAATAATTAACGATTCCTTAAAAAATACCGCCATTAATAAAGCATTAAATCATTTCTTTAATAATTCGATTCTCTTCAGAATGTTTATAACGAAAGTAAACAAAAAATGAATTTGCACCAGGGCCAGACCAGGCTTCGAAACCTTGTCCTCCGATCATTACACTGTCGCTCTAACCAACTGTGCTACCTATCAGTGGTAGTACTCTTACCCAATATGCGTTATAGTTATATCCGAAGTATAATTACGGGATAAGGTTACTTTATTGATTATTTTAGCTGCAGCGGGACAGAGATCTAACGGAGTTCTAAGGCAGATATGATCAAACGGAACAAATACAATGAAGTGTGGTAGTTTTTGACTTTGTGTGATTTTAGTTTGTATGTACATCTGTAGCCGGATAGAGGAACAACTCAATTCGCAAATGTAAATGAGTATTTAAACACCCAGCAACAGTAGTCAACAATGTTACAATTATTAGCAGCAGAATTAAAATTTTACAAATGGCACAACAGTCTCCACATGATGGTGGTGGAGCCGGTACGAGAGCGAGATGGGGTGATCCATAGATGGTAGTGTCCAGACTGACAAAGCACTGTCCTGCTATCAGCTACATACTTAAATATTTGCAACGGAGGCACAATTCAGGACAATATAAATCACCAGTGTGATTTACATAAGTCAGGTACTGGCCGTACTATATGTATCATTTAATTGTTTTTTATGTTTCCTCTCCGTAAAAAAAGCGACAATCATTACCGGACAGCCAGATCCAACATATTGTTGTTGACGAAAACAGTATTATCTACTTGATAATTGGATATATAGAACATTAGACAA